GACGACCTGCGGTACTCAGGGCGGATCTCATCCACCCCCGGCCCCTTGCCATCGAGCCCCCCCCGTCCCGTAAACAGCGGTGGTGGGAAACTGCTTCCCCCTCCTGAGTCGCCGGATGGTTTGCCAGAATTTTTTCAAGGCCGACCGGTAGTCCCCCTCCACGGCCTCCCCGAACTTTTCCCAGACCCGAGTTTTTGCTTCCACGACTACCCGAGCCGCAGTCCGCTTGGCCTGACTTTACCTGTTGGCTGCCTCGGGAGTCCCACGAACCAACCAGGCTCAGTAGGACTCCTTCTTCAGCTTGACAGCATCCCTTACCTCTGGTGTCATCCACCGGGTTCGGAGATTGCCGCCACGACAGGCACCAGAGACCTTACGGCTGCAGCAACAACGGAAGTGAAGACAGTACACTCAGACTCAATGTCTCCAGCCTCCCTCGGGACCTGGTCAAAGCTCTCCCGGAGGTGGGAGTTGAAGGCCACCTTCACCGGGGATTCCGCCAGACGTTGCCAACAGACCCTGTTATGGACAGTTATGGACAAACCGTGACTAGCACAGAAGTCCAATAACAAAACACCAATCGGATTCAGATCGGGGAGGGCGTTCCTCCCGATCACGCCCCTTCAGGTGTCACTGTTGCTGCCCACATGAGCATTGAAGTCTCCCAACAAGACAATGGAATCCTCCGGAGAAGCACTTTCCAGTACCCCTCCCAGTGCCTGCAAGAAGGCCGGGTATTCTACACTGCTATCCGGCCCGTAGGCCGAAACAACAGTGAGACACCTATCCCTGACCTGAAGGCGCAGGGAAGCGACCCTCTCGCTCAGTGGGAAGAACTCACAACACACGACTGGCGAGCTGGGGAGCTCCTCTCACCACGAGCAACTCCAGAGTAGAAGGGAGTCCAGCCTCTCTCAAAGAGTTGGGTCCCAGAGCCCAGACTGTGCGTGTAGGTGAGCCCGACTATATCTAGTCGGTATCGCTCAACCTCCCGCACAAGCTCAGGCTCTTTTCCCCCCCAGTGAGGTGACATTCCATAGCCAGAGTCAGTTGTCCAGGGATTGGGCCGCCGGGGTCCTCGCCCACGACCGCCACCCAAATTACAAGGCACCGACCCCTTGTGGGCCTTCCTGCGGGTGGTTGGCCTACTGGAAGGCCCCCGTGGGGCCCCCGTGACGTCAATCCAGGCGACGTGAACTTCTTTGTTGTTGTTTTCTTCATCAAGGGGAGGGGGATTTGAACCACTCTTAGGTCTGATTCGTCGCCTAGGACCTGTTTGGGAGACCCTACCAGGGGCATTACGCCCCCGACAACGTAGCTCCTAGGTTCATTCGGATACTCAAACTCCTCCACCACATTAAGGTTGCGGTTCAAGGAGGAGAACACCAAAATCAATCAGAGAAATATTTGTGGTGAAGGTGAAACAGATACACACAAGAACACAAACCTAGCCCATTACAGGGAAACACACATTCACGTTCACGATCACATTCATACTTATGGTAAACACAGTGTCCTGTTAACCTCACCCTGCATGTTTTTACATTGGAATATAAGCTGTGGTTTATTTTCAGGAAATTCCTCCTACACTGCCTCACATTTGAATGGTGTCAGGGATGAAATGCCAGTTTGGCAGAGTGAAGTGGGCTGCAAGTGTTTAAGTGTGAAATTCCAGGCTCTCATTCAGCACAGTAATATTCTCTGACTTTCTCTGTTTGTTCCGAAAATATAGTTAGGGACTGAAATAATGTGGTGCAGGCTAAAAAGTATGTGGTTTATGATGCAATTTGATAGAAGTCAGAAAAGTACAGGTTGGAGAATAAAAAAAAATCATTATTTTCGCAGATGCAGAACACAGCGTACCAGTAATATACTGTACAGTGGGGGCTGCAGACCAAAACATAGTTGAAAGATCTGCATTCATACATGATTTACATCCATTTATGGATGG